GTATATATATATATATACATATCTATATATATCTATAGCTATCTACCACCACCTGTGCCACAATTTGCTTGATGAATATTTGCCTTTTATAACAAATCAGACGAATATTTTAGCCAGACACGATGAGTGCTAGTCCCCCTGTCATCCTTCCCCGCCTACGTGTGTCCCCGACCCTGCTCAGTCGACTGTAGATTTTTGTCCTTTTGTTGTTGTTGTTGTATTTTTTGCCTTTGTGGAGTTTTTCCTAATACAATAAATATTTGCCAGCACACAAATATGTAATCATACTTCAGTATGGTTCAGAAAAAAAAGGGTTTATAGTTGAGTGGCTAAGGCGCAGTGGGGGCGTGGCAGGTAGGTGGTGGTGGTGGTGGTGGCGGCTGTTGCCACAATTGAACTGGCGCATTGAAATTGGCACACGCACGCAATTTGCATTAATTGCAAGAAAAATTTTCTAATTAAAATGCCAGTCAGTTCGTATGCGTGTGTGTGTGTGTGTGTCTGTGTGGGGTGGTATTAGCAGAAGTGTCAATTAAAAAACAAAACGGAAAAAAACTCAGACAGAGCGACCGACAGACACCTGCTTGAGGCGGGCTTCTTGCTTCTAACTGAGCTGAGGGCAAACGTAGCATATGAAGTGAAGTGGATGCCCCACATGGAGGCGCGTGCAAACGGGGCGGGGGGCGGTGGGGCGCACAACATCAAACAGTCGATGAGAATTGCAGGTAAATTGGAAATTTGATTTGGGGGTTATTAAACAGACCTGCGCTGGCTGCGGCTAATTTGCAAGTTTTATTTGGTATTTTTTGGTATTTTTTGTTTTGTTTGTTTGTTGATTTTGTTCTTATATATTTTTGGGTTGTTGTTTTGTTGTTGTTGTTTGTTTTTGTTGATTGTTGTCAAAGTTCATTACAAAGTAATTAGCCCGAGCAACACACAGACAGCTGCAAATGCAAAGTTGGGGCAAGTGCAACACGAGAGACATGTGCAACATTTTGCGGCATAATGGCAAAATGTCGAAGACAAACTTTTTGCCATGTCTAGGCTATGCGGCATGCCAGCACACAGACAAGGCTACACATATAAGTATATGGATATACATATGTAT